TCTTGGATTACCACCATTAGTTTAAACACCTCCCTCAATGCAACCATTATGAAAGTTGTTTAGCAGAGCCCTATTGATAGATGGATGTGTTTCATCTTTGCTTCCTTTTACTGTCTGTCCTCTGGTGGAAGTGTCGTCCCTTGAGATTTGATCAAAGGGCATTCAGCACAGTTGATGTAAAAACCCTGGCTAATTGACAACCAGAAAAACGTATCCTGGGATAACAAATGAATGAATCAAGATGGTTGTCAATTATAGCCATCCCATTTCTAAGGTGTAAAAGGAATTTCTTTTTATTGTCTTCTCTTCCCTGTGCCCCCTCCCTGCCCACCAAGGACTTTTAGAATATTGAGACTATTAATACATAAAATACAGGAAGTTAAAAATCTCTAAATTTATAAAAGTTAATCTAAGAATACGTTTGTTTTGGTTTGATGTCTATTTACAAAGATAGAGATATTGAGGGTAGCAGTAGGGGATAAACAGAGAAGAATAAGAAAATGAATTTCACCAATTTCACCGTATTTCAGAATTCATTCCCACATTTTAGATCACACTCATGAATTTACTAAAGATCTTAATTGTTAGTTGGCTTTCATAATCTCGTGAGGGAATTTCATTTCCTGGTGGCTGTTTGGCCCCTTTCCAGCTCATCTACTTTTTGTGTTGGTATCAAAGAAATAAGAAGGACAATGAAATTTGAGTTTACTTCACAATTTAATATCAATGAAAGTGTGGTTAGGAAGGAAAGGATTATATGCAAAGAAATTAATTTGAAATATTAAGCAGACTCTGTCTTCCTTGGTAGAGAACACAGTCAAAGTTTATAACTTAGGCAAGTTAAAATCCTCATCCTCACCTTTAGATACTTAAACAACTATTCAAATCGTATTCGGAATATTTTCAGTTGCTGCAGATAGCTTCATTATGACTTTATGGTTAAAAATTCAATTTTGGGTCCTTAAAGCAAACGTTCAGAAAATACAGTCTTACTTCCGACTCATTATAAAATGAGTCAGAAAGAGAAGGGCTAGGGAAAATGAGAATATTCTTTTTGTGGAAGAAATGTAGGTTTTGTTAGGTTAATATTTACTTGTATGAAATTATAGGCTTTGAATAATTCAATAGGCTTTATTTTAGCTGTTTAAAGGGAGATGAAGTTAGAGGTATGAAAAATGTTCTCCAATTTTAATTTAAGATTATGAGGTATTTTGAGAGTCACGCTAATTTAGTCAACAAATACTAATTGAGCTTTCTCTCTGTGTCTTGATCCTTCATTTAGTTTTGTCTTTTGTCTGTTTGTTTTTGTACTTATTT